ATCCAAAATCTTCGACATTGAAAACATGATTTATTTGTCAATTTAAATCAACATTGATGTTGTGATCTTACGGGAAAAGATGGGCTTCTGATATCCAATATTTAAGACAAAATAAACATTTTACCGTTGGTACACGAATCGTGTACCACGGTGCATTTCAGCGCCATTTTTAACAAGGGACTCGTAGAAAGAGGCCAGATTTATTCCACAAGTCATGTCAAACGGTGAGGTCATATTCTTATCTGGAGAGCATGAGCAATAAATACTATCGGTATAGACTGGAATAACCAGGCGCTAGAGATTGCCATTGGATTGAGACTACTGGTGTATTTCACCGAACATAACTGATTAGAAATTGCATTAAAAACAGAAACGATTGAATGTAAATCAGTTTATATACATTCACATTACATTATTATATACGTTGCGACCCATTTGTGTCAATTTCTAGATCCAAAATATTAGCGATTTAGCTCCTTTAACCCAGCCCTGATCTTGATCAGTTTTATTGTCTTTTAAATGCCCCCATTACCTAAAAAAACAATAAATATGCGACAATCCTTGTAGACTGTTAGGGCGACTTAACTGCTGTGGCCGTATGGTTCGTTGCCTGGCAAACTATCTGTATGTGTATAAGTATGTGTTTGTGATATGTCTCGTATATATCATATGTTTGGTGCAATATAGCCCGATTGGAGCTCACATTTCACTAAACCACATGTCATTAATTCATTATTAATCTGCCTTTAAAATGCATTAGGCCTATTTATGCTATACAGGTTTCTGGCATGTTTTGGGGAGTTTACTGTTATGTTGTTGCTATGTAAATAGATGTGTATGTCTAAATGTTCAAATAGGTTCATATTACCAGAATATAATACATCAAAGGTTCTCCAGTATGTATTAAGGAGTATGTTTACCATTTATTATTAACGGTGTTTACATGAATAACAATAGAATGTCTGCGATATCAAGGAAAGTGTGAGTGGACGTAAGTCACATATATTAGGACACATACACTGTAAGTTTACTGACGATTGCATTCTTAGGACACATACACTTTCCTATATTTCTAATAGTAAGTACAGGGGGACTGCACCACACACAAACAATTACACAAGACAAACCCACGGACAAGACACATATTACAGACACCAGAAACAACAAACACACATATCAGATCAAGTTATTGGACCCGGATGGCTAGAATATCTATTCTCAATCTGATTAAAACACAGATCTATATCTCGTTTCGTTTTTTTTATACTTTTGATTAACGAATCCGCATTGATGTTTCTAGTGGATTACCCACAGTTCCGTGCACTACTCGCCAAACGTTCGTTTCATTGGCTAATCCCCACACCATCCAGAACACGGCAATGACAACAACCATTGACGTCATATATAGATACATGGCGTCAGTGACAACAACTCTTCCAGACACTTTTAAACATCTCCATAGCAATGAAATAAAATGAAATGAAATGGGTTTTAACGTCCTACTGTTCTGCTCCGATTGGACTAATGAAGACGGTTCCCTGTCAATCGCTTTGCTAACTGAGTTTTGCGATGGCTTTTTCAAAGAACATTTTAACAACGGACGAGGGGCTCTGAAGTTAATAGACAATAATTGTGATATCCCTGGGAATAAAGTTGTGTCAAATACCTAACTGGGTACGACGCTGGCTCGCTAACCTGGAGGTGCAAGGCGGAGGACCAGGCAAGGGCAGCTGTCTAGTTGTTCGGATGGTACGAAAAACCGAGGTCCCGTGTATACATTGGCATGCACGTAAAAGATCCCTTGGCAGTTGGAATTCGATATTAGACTTGGCCATAGTGCCGATGCCCGGGCAAAATTTTCCTTATAGCACACTGTATGGCGTATGCCCGTCTTCATTATCCCAGTCGGAGCAGAACAGTAGGACGTTAAACCCCATTTCATTCCATTTCTTAAGACTATTTAAGATTTGCATTTGTCTTCTACAATATCTTTAGAAAATTTGGTCGACTCTCAGCCAGATTTGGGAGTCGACAATTTTTACGGACCTAGGATATAGCCTTATTAGCCTAATGGTTAAAGTAGCTAAGTCTCTAACTCAATATCATCCAAAATCTTCGACATTGAAAACATGATTTATTTGTCAATTTAAATCAACATTGATGTTGTGATCTTACGGGAAAAGATGGGCTTCTGATATCCAATATTTAAGACAAAATAAACATTTTACCGTTGGTACACGAATCGTGTACCACGGTGCATTTCAGCGCCATTTTTAACAAGGGACTCGTAGAAAGAGGCCAGATTTATTCCACAAGTCATGTCAAACGGTGAGGTCATATTCTTATCTGGAGAGCATGAGCAATAAATACTATCGGTATAGACTGGAATAACCAGGCGCTAGAGATTGCCATTGGATTGAGACTACTGGTGTATTTCACCGAACATAACTGATTAGAAATTGCATTAAAAACAGAAACGATTGAATGTAAATCAGTTTATATACATTCACATTACATTATTATATACGTTGCGACCCATTTGTGTCAATTTCTAGATCCAAAATATTAGCGATTTAGCTCCTTTAACCCAGCCCTGATCTTGATCAGTTTTATTGTCTTTTAAATGCCCCCATTACCTAAAAAAACAATAAATATGCGACAATCCTTGTAGACTGTTAGGGCGACTTAACTGCTGTGGCCGTATGGTTCGTTGCCTGGCAAACTATCTGTATGTGTATAAGTATGTGTTTGTGATATGTCTCGTATATATCATATGTTTGGTGCAATATAGCCCGATTGGAGATCACATTTCACTAAACCACATGTCATTAATTCATTATTAATCTGCCTTTAAAATGCATTAGGCCTATTTATGCTATACAGGTTTCTGGCATGTTTTGGGGAGTTTACTGTTATGTTGTTGCTATGTAAATAGATGTGTATGTCTAAATGTTCAAATAGGTTCATATTACCAGAATATAATACATCAAAGGTTCTCCAGTATGTATTAAGGAGTATGTTTACCATTTATTATTAACGGTGTTTACATGAATAACAATAGAATGTCTGCGATATCAAGGAAAGTGTGAGTGGACGTAAGTCACATATATTAGGACACATACACTGTAAGTTTACTGACGATTGCATTCTTAGGACACATACACTTTCCTATATTTCTAATAGTAAGTACAGGGGGACTGCACCACACACAAACAATTACACAAGACAAACCCACGGACAAGACACATATTACAGACACCAGAAACAACAAACACACATATCAGATCAAGTTATTGGACCCGGATGGCTAGAATATCTATTCTCAATCTGATTAAAACACAGATCTATATCTCGTTTCGTTTTTTTTATACTTTTGATTAACGAATCCGCATTGATGTTTCTAGTGGATTACCCACAGTTCCGTGCACTACTCGCCAAACGTTCGTTTCATTGGCTAATCCCCACACCATCCAGAACACGGCAATGACAACAACCATTGACGTCATATATAGATACATGGCGTCAGTGACAACAACTCTTCCAGACACTAGTTTAGTAAAGACACGTAAAACAAAATTTTGAACTATAATAAACGAAACGAATTAATAGGATCTGTGTTTTAATGAGATTGATCTATTCTTGGCCCGGTCGGTGCTGACCCACGATAGTTCTAATTCATTCATTATATATCTTAAGTCAATTGTTTATATGAAAAATTTATAGCTGATTTGGTTTTAAAGTAAATATACTTGTATCGATATTTAACATATTCTCAGTGTGAGTACATTCTTATTAAATCTTGGGGAGTATATTTAAGAGACTGAGATAGGTCCTAACCTGTTACATTTGAAGAGGAATAAATTTAAAACACGTTTTATGGACATTAAGATTACGGCGTATTAACCTTAGATAAGACATTTTGCATGAAAACTACCATGGACTGTAAATTTGATAACTCGGGGATGGACACCCCTCGTAACTCTATAGTCACATTACAACAAATTATAAGCGATGATTTTTAAAAGCACCAATGAACGACCTTAATTAATCGCTAGGTCAGACCGGATCAAACATCTTGGACTTTTAGCTAATACGTTGCAGCTATCGACACAATGTCGTTATACATAATAGCCATATTCCAAGGCTAGGGTTAAAGTTTAGCCTACTCAATACAAACCGCATAAAGACTCAATAACTCGCTTGTACATAACTAGTGTCTTTATCCGTGTTGGGGGAAACCGGGGGATACGGAGAAACCAACGAGCTTGGGATTAGAAGAGATTATAGCGCGAAGGCTACCACATTAAAATAGTCAGATAAACAAATAATTTGACAATAATTCTACTCAAGCTTTTGAACATGTCTTTATCATGAGATCCGCCTTGTCTGGAGACCCGCCTTGTCTCGATGTGTCCTATCTTGTGTGGTAAAGGTGGGGCGTTATACCTCGAATACTTTAATACCACTGTCATACATGGTCATGTTCCGAGGATATTTTATCGTTAGAATTAAACATATATTTTCCCAGCTTAATAGGATATACGATTCACGCCCAACGCTCATATACATGTAACTATTGGGCCGTTATAGAAAGGCAGAAGGAGCAATGCAATAAATAGATCGATAAGGAGTTGTACTTTAAAGGTACTTTCCCGCGTACTTTAAACTGTGTGATTTGATGATATATTTGGACTAAAAACATATTCAAACTAATTAATATATCAAAAATTTGCTTCAAACCCCTCTCAAAACTTTGTATTTGCTTCGGAGATACCCCAAGCTATAAATAAACTGTTGTTAGACGCTATGTCTGTCACCTCACTTCGTTGAAGGAGGGTCCATTTTTCAAAGCGTATTTTTCATTATTTACTGCAATCCAGTATTTTTCTAGTAAGATTGGGTGTCTATACTCCCCATATATAACATATATACTTTTATTGGAAATAACCACCCGATAATTACTTTCAGGACAATGTATCTTTAATCTGAAAGAGGTAAAACGCAAAACTACATTTACACACTGTGGCTGTAGCTAATACAGAATCAACAGATTACGGAACATGTTGTCGAATTGACAGAGAGTGGAGCATAATTAGGGAGAGTTAGTTGGGAAGGTGGGTGGAGTGTATTTCATTAGTCAAGTGAGAAAGTCAGTGTCTAAAGAAAGGCGACAAATTCCATGTGCGGTACAAATGTGTGATCTAGCCCTGGTCGTTTACGTAGGTTGGTTTCTTTTTCACACTTTGTAGTACGAATATTGATTAGGCTACTAAAGGGTTGTACATCACTGGATAATCATAAAACACTTGCCCACTAGTTACAGTTATCTACTCCTAGTGACTATACATACGAATAGTAATTTATTGTACGTGTATTACTATCTACGCAATTACAATAAATCAGGTTTTTAAAAATGTCAAGTGTTTTGTAAATATTGGTGTATTGAAAACGTTACTTTATAAACTTCAGTTTCGATTTAAAGTAAACCCAGTTAAATGTCTTGCTTAATCGGGGCTGTACTCAAATTGAAACGAGGGCGTGTATAATTAATTATACCCCCTTAAACTACATAATTTCAAATATCATTATTAAATTCAAAATAACCCCACACTCTACTAATGATCAATTCAACAAGTGGACAAATCTTTTGTAAATTATAGCTTCATATATAGTTGTCATAGTAAGCTGGGACGGGTGTTGTGCACGTGGTTGAGTGGATTTAAACTTTTTTATTTTTTGTCTGGCGGGAGAGAATTGAAGTCGGGAGGGCGGGGGGGGGGGGTTGATTATTGTGGTTTTCTCGACCCCAAACTGATAGTGACAAGACAGCGACTATATGCAGGCCTATCTATCCACCTGGTTATTATCTTTGTTCTTGGGTTTTCACTGCTAAAGAAACTTTACGCAAGCGACTTATTGCGTTCTGAGCTGTGTTAATTCGAAATGAAAAGAATTAAAAGGTATTCAGTAGATCTTTAAACTAAAGTGTGAATTTGTTTTTGTAATCGATTTCTTTATTCTTATCGTACTAGTTAATCTAGACTATGTTTGTAACTCTTGTAACTTGAGACTGGTAGATTAAGTGTAACGAATATCCTATTTCAATACATCAATAAGTAAATGGAATTATCTATATTGTCCGAGCCAATGCGTATTACATACATATATATGTTTATAGCCTTTATATTATAGCCCGTATGTACATAAGCATGTTTGTTAAATAATTATATATATATACACATACGTAGAGGACTACTTTAACTTTACAACATACTCGAGTACGGTAGGTCAAATTAATAATACAGTTAAGTGCTTATCTGTAAGTATATTCAAAATGTTAAAAGTTTTAAAACGAAACGAATTTTAGTACAAGTTTTATGTATATCTTGATTCTAAGTGTGCTATTGGTGTTATTTTAAAATAGATATAACGTGATACTTGTTTTTAATTTCTTGTAAAATAAAACTGGTTATTTTATTGGTATTATTTAAAACAAGTACCCAAACAAACCTATTGTGGCTATGATAATATTCAGGTTGTCTCGAATATAACAGTGAAGATGCACCATTAAACTTCTTTCATCTCCATTTTGTCTGGTTACTGTAAATTTTGTGGGTTTTTTGGAACCAGTTTAATCTTTTCATAAAAACTAATCATGAATTTTGTGGCATCCGATAAATACAGATATATAACTAACTTAATCATCTTGACCCTGAGAAATATAATTGTTAATATTTCTTTTCTGATATTTCCAATACGGTGATTTTATAATGTTAATAATAATAATAATAATGAATATTTATATTGCGCGCATTCCATCCAAACAGTATGCTCATGGCGCAGGTTTGTTTAGCTCTTCAGTTTTATAGTTCACTCATTATAATAGGATTCAAACATATGAGATTTTAATTTTGATTTGAAAGTTTCCAAACATTGCGAAGTTTTGAGATTTACGGGTAAAGAGTTCCATAGTTTTGGCACACTGTGGGAAAATCGTCGAAACCCAAAGGATTTAAGTCTATAACTTGGTACTGTTAGAAGGTGATGATTTTTTGACCTTAGGGTGCGTTTGGGGATATATTCAGATATCATTGAACTAAGATATTCTGGGGCTGTTCCATTTAAACATTTATGGGCCATACACAGGAGTTTGAAATGGATTCTGTGGCCTGTGGATGATTGGTAGCCAGTGCAATGTTGGTAATGTTCTAGATGTCATGTGAGAGGCAGAATAATGGCTACCTTTCCGGTAAACCCGACACCACTACAACATTAGGTTATTGATTAAATTTATTACCCCACTTCTCCTTTTTATGAAGTTCACTAGGCAGAGTATGTAGCCAAAAATGATTTGGTAGTCTCAAGTGATTTTAATGGATTTCAACCTATTCTGTGCTTGATAATCATTCTAAAATCCTGTGAAAGCTGTAGGGACAAAAGATATCACCCAATCTATTGTAAATCTATACGCATTATTGCCTGGACAGCATTAGGCCTTATCCAACTGTCGAGGGTTCTTTTACTTGCACGCAAATGTATACACAGAACCTTGGTTTTTCTCTCATCCGTACGACGACAAGACCTCGGTTTTTCGTACAATCTGAACGACTACTAACTGCCGTCCGTCCTGCACCACTGACAAATGGAAACCATGCCGGACAATTCCGAGGAACTTTCTCAGCCAACACCGGGAGCGAACACGAGATCCCCAGACTATAGCGAACCATCAAGCCACTTCGGCTATCATATTTTGAGTGGAAGAAGCCTATATCGAATTTTGGCGAAACGAAGAATCGTATGTAATTTTAATGATTTCTGGTAGATTTCCCTTGTAACACACCCCATAGCGTATACCCATGTTCATTATCAAGGTTAGTTCTCAAAGGTAAAATTTTGAACCCATTTCAGCTGATTTGTTTATGGCAGAGCGTACTAACCTCTAGGAAATGCCCACACCTTAAGCTAGTCTTAATTATGGGTAGCGTGACAAGTCAGATAGCATGGTCTAATAATGGAGACTATAAATTTTTTCGCTCTGCTGTTAATAATTAAATATCTTCTTATGAACCAGTTCATCCGTAGCAGCGTTGGCGTGTGAAGTCATCTTAAATTTCACATTTAATCTATCAAAATCTCTTCAAAAATTCACACAATTTGATTATAGTGGTTAAAGTTTCTGATTAAATTCCGACGAGAATAGAATCAAAACACTGTAAAATATAATATGAGTTCATATGTTTCATCAGTAAACAATCCGAAGAATACGTCGAGATCACAACCTCACTGATGTCCAACCTTAATCGTCACAGCATGTGAGGGAGCCACGTTGGCTGAGTGAGTAGTTCGCTCGCTAACCCGGAGGTCCAGGTCCCTACGATTGCCGAGAAAGTTCATCGGGACTTTCCGACGTGGTTCCCCCTCGTCAGTGGTGCAGGTTGGAGGGACAACGTATAGTCGTTCGGATGGTACGAACGACCAATGTACACACTGACGTGCACGTAAAAGATCCCTTGATAGTTGGATTTGAAATAAGAGTAGGCCGTAGTGCAGCTGTCCGCGCACCCCCCCCCCCCCCCCTTAGCACACTGTATGGCGTGTGTCCGTCTTCATTAGCCCGACCGGAGCAGAACAGTAGGACGTTAAACCACATTTCATTTAATTTCATTTCACAGCATGTGAATCTAGATATCTTCAGCTCAACGAGTATTAGGTCACTAAGCAGGAGGTCATGAGCTCCATCAATGTGTTGACCGGGAAAGCTCCTTTGGATTTTTCAGTGTTATTTCCCCTTGTCAGTCGTGCAGGATAGAGGGAATGGTAAAGAAAATAGTCTAGTCGTTCGGATGGGACAAACACCGAGACATCGGGTACCAGTTAGCGTACGCATAAAAGAAACCTGGTAGTTGGAATTCGGCGCAAAGTAGATGGAAACACCACTCCCCTCATAGTGCACTGCATGACGTATGCCCGGATTAATTAGTCCGGTTGCTGCAGAAAAGTAGGCCATTAAACCCCACCCCTTTCAGTTATCTTCAGTTTTTTTCACAATGTAAAATTAACATATTGTATGGGAATATAAAAGATGATGGATATCTCTTAACACGCAATATTGACAAACTTGTTAATTATGTTCTTCTGCCGTCAGTCACTAAAACGAAACATGAAGTTAACAATAGTTAACTGTAAACATTTAATCCATTTAAAGTCGTTTTCCCTCTATATTCTTACGGTTACATCTTAACACGGCTGAAATAAATACGTTTATATGGTACATGTAGTTCCGGTGTGTAATATCATGACTATCGACCCATGCACGTCAAGATGTACACGGGACATCAACGATTAAACACCTTTTCCTACCAGATCCTCTGTCTTGCATCTCTGACATCAGAGACCAGGGTGGTTAATCCTCCTTGAATCAAGCAGTTGTAACTGATAAAGGTCTACTTTTATACAAAATTCACGCACTGTGTTTTTAATGTGCGATATTTGCGGACGTTATTGTATCGTTGGCTTCTATGGGATAACACACAGGCTCGCCAGCCAATCAGCACTTGAAGCAGAAATACTGACTCGCGAGTGAAAGGATTCATTTGATACTGAGAGACTCCTTTTGGGGGAATTTTTATCTTGTATTTGTAAGATGTCTTTTCACAGGATACGGAGTTCCTCAATATTATTTTGGTATGATTGCATACAATATAGTCTTGTATATAGTCGATGTAGATGGACGTTTAATGAATAGAAGCTCTGTCCCTTTAAAGTAATTAAGTGTCACGATAATTATTGATGCATAATCAATTATCATAAAGTTTTCTCGCTTCTTGGCACTCTCCCGCCCCACTAATAAATAATACAGGAAAGAAAAAAATAATCATTAAGAACACGTTGTAGTCACGCGTCTCTTGTCAGTCAAGTTAGTCTAATAACAGTTTTCAAGTGGCAAAGAAGTTTTCAAATTTTGCTTTTCACACAATTGGCAGAGATTTGTTCTTGAATATCTGGATTAAATGATGATGTGTTATGATCCATAAAAACTATTTGAAGACCATATTTTGTCATTTTGTGATCGAAAAGCGTTAAATGGTAGCGTTTCGAAAGTGATTTGAAAGATTATCGTTTGAAACAAGTGTGATAATCAATTTGTTTTAGTGATATAAATACATATAAGGAAAGTTAACGATAAATTTGATAAATTTAAAAAAAAAAAAGTTTATTATTTTCGATAAATTTAAACATTACCCGTTTTATCTGTAAAATTAATATTTGTTTAAGATCAGTTTTTTTGTGGTTTAACGTTTTCGAAAGGGAATTTTTAAAAGCGAATTAATTCACCTTTTGAAAGGATTTACTTGTGACAGTGATATATTTTGTTGTACATCAAATTTAAAATTTTGGAATATTTGTAAATCTGAAAATCATTAAAAATGGCGAATGAGCACAGACACAGAGTGTAAGTATAGTCTACACTATGTTCACAATAATATCCCTTGGCTATGCGAGCTCCACAAACGAGAAGTGGTATCAAGTGTTCTATCAAGTAGTCATAACCTGCCCCGTGCATTAAACGCATTACTATATCTTGGACTACCACGTATTTACAGCTGACGTAAAACATTCAATATGTTTCATAATGAAGCGAGGATCTTGATTGGATGCGTTTGGTGATAAAGCACATTTTCTTGCACTTGCGTTAAAGCACCTGTTACATAAATGTATACACGTCCGTGTCCGTATGTTAAAGTATATCGTCCATCATTTCCTTTTGTTCTTTATGTACATATCTATAAATATTTTCACTAATAAGTTCACTTTGTCGCTAATCACATAGTAAATATTTCATTTGTTTATACTATAACATGTAATTGTCTGCGATATCACTTCGGTGGAAGCGAACGTAAAGTAAAGCTATTAATGGTAATAACCCATAGTGATTTTCCTCTCTTGACATTTACTTGCATATAATATGTGGCTCCTAGCATAATTCCAAACTATTTGATTAGCCATACTTTGATAAAACACCGGAACGAGGTGTGTGTTTAAAGTGAACTACAAGTATAACCGACACCTTAATCTGTGTTTTAAAACATAATTAATATGAATGACAATCTAAATATTATCCAAAAATTCATATCTTCTGTTTATTTGCTATCCGTACAATTTTAAAACCCCGATGCTACATCATATGAATATAATATATGATCCTGAACGTTAAAATGAACAATACCAGCATTCTAACATTTTGATTATATAAGGGATTCTGTTTTCAACTATCAAAATACGCCATAAATTTGTATGTTTATATAGCATAGTAATATTATACGCCTTTACAAATACCGCAATAAGGGGGAAAGGTGAATATTCATGTCTACTAGAATCCACTTAAAGAAAGGGTATCTACTTGTAACCCCACTCCCACCCAGCCCTTTCCAAGAGTTTACAGTTTGGGACTAAAAAGGATCTTTTGTTGAAGACAGATTTTATTACCTCTAGAACCCCTTGAATGGGTTTGCCAAAGCCTTTTGAACTCACTAATTAATCCGTAACGTCTATATGATGAATCATATAAACCATTCATGTTCTTTTACATTTATCTATATGTATTCTGTTGACATATATTCCTGATTACCTGTCTGAATTTAATTCAAACTTTTTATTTGTATCTTTCAGTCGTAGTCTAAATAAAAAGCTTTATAATATGGAGGACGAATTGCCGGAAGTGAAGGACGATTCCCGTGCTTTTTTTCAACGGAAAGAAGGTATATTATTCATTAAATGTTAATGGAGCATTATCGCTTTCACGAAGAATAATTGAATGTTTGAATAATGTGAGCTTGGACTCTCCTGATTACCGAACTTCAAAGCGTCGGTCGAACGTTCGTTACACTCCCTTTAATTACCATTAAAACCTTGTCTGAACATAGTACATGGATGTTTAAACACCTATGTCAGCAAACGATGCTCATTTTCGTCTCAAACTCTGCATACAATCGAATTTGTTTTGTAAAACCCAAAAACTGCAAAATGCTAGCTTCACTTTCGTTACGGTAGCTGGTTGCCAGCGACGGGTTAACGCGTGCGCGTTGGATCAGAAGGTCTGTCATTGAGGTTTCGATTCCACACTGGTACGTGGCAAGGAGTAGGGTCACCTGTCCAACCTCATGGGTTTCCCCGGGTCCTCCGGTTACCCGTCACTGCTAGACCCAACACGTTTATTAAAATAAAATTAAAGGATGAGTTAGTCCCGAAATGACCCAGTTTGTGTCGAGTTAGCCAGCTGGACGTTATACTCCATTTCTCTCGCTCTTTTCTTTTAAGGTCTATGAGAGCTTTTTTAAATCACTATACTATCTAACAGAACTATCAGACTAAAGTGGTTCAGTATTTTCAAAGATGTAATGAATCAATGAATTTATAATTTGTCAACCTTTCTGCACACGATAAAACAAGATGTGGTCAAATCAAGCCAATACTTCCGATAATCTTCGCTAAAATGCTTTGACAGACCTCGTTGTAATCCAATTGAATCAAAGTCAAGACATTATCTGCCAATGCTATTTTGATTTTGGTTTCTTAATTAAACATACATTATGCAAGAGCTAAATCTGCCTATTGCCGGTATTTCTTTAGGTCCGAAATGTTATCTAATTTATTAATTAGACATTAATTAACTTATCGAGACCATAATCAACTCTCGATGGCATCGCTAGCCTGCGATGTTTATTGGATTAAGTTCCGATTTCCTGTTCGACTTCCATTCATAATTTAATCATGAAATGAATAATCAAGACTATGTTGGGGTTTTTTATCGTCACTGAGTCAACTGGCGTGGTTTCGAATCCCTGGTTGTACGTGACAAGGAGTAGGGTCGCGTGTCCCACCTCGTGGGTTTTCTCCGGATCCTCCGGTTTCCTCCCACTGCTAAAGACCCCTACGCGCAAACGAAATATGGAAATATGTGTTAGTCCCGAAATGACCTAGTTTGTGTCGAGTGGACGTTAAACCCCATTTCTCTCCCTCTCTCTAATCTCCCATAATGTATCTTTAAATGTTAAATAATAGATTTGAGTACATTTTAGCGTGAATTAAGTCGTGAGTTTTGTTTAGATATTGCCCGAAATATGCAAATGACGATCAGTGGGTTTATAAGAAATAAAATTAAATGGAATAGTGTATAACGTCCTACTGTTCTGCTCCGACTGGACCAATGAAGAGCGACATATGCCATACAGTGTGCTAGAGGGAAATTTTGCAACGAAGAATTGTCATCGTGATGCAAGAACAAGCTACGACCGAAATATTACTTCTGTATGAAATATGCACTTGCACTCAAATTGCCTTTGTTGTTATGATATTATCACTCTTGCCAATAATGTAAATGTAATACTCACCTAATTATTGAAAATTCAACCACCTACTTGTATAAATAATATATTTTGAAGATTCTCTATGTAACTGTATAGTCAAATCGTGTTGGATTGGAATTACTTACTACCAATCACCGATGATCCATGTAATGCTAATTCATTATTGAAGATATATCATTTTTTAATCTATATCAAATATTTTGTTTAAGCGGCGTTTAGTAACTGAATGAAAATAACACACGACACCGTTACTTAAAAGCCTATTTCTGGTGACGTTTCGACGAGGGTTCTATCGACTTTATTAAGCAAAGAATAATAAACTTTTAAGTAATTTGTATAACGCAAATTGTGTCCTGTTTTATATCAAAATGCTCTCCTAATTATGGTACAACCAATTATTGGCAGTCTGACTCTCTTGACGTATCGGATTAACAGCATACTAAATTATATTTTTACCTATCATCGAAGCCCCCCACCCCACCCCTCCCCCGGACCGTTAAAGATAAATTCCTGGACAGCAACAGTCCTTGTAGTCTACCTCTATTAGTCATGGGGTACATCATACCTACATAGTCTAAAAGAAAAGTTAGTTAATTAATGCATCATTTTTTCTGGAAGCATATGAGTGTTATTATTTCCATATTTCCAGGTCGGATGGGGCTATATTTAGAGATATATGATGCCAAAGCTGAACATCCAAAGGAATATGGTTCTGACCATTTCTTTTTAATGTCATTAAAAGACAAGCTTGCGGAATATTTAGATGAGTTTGACTTAGTAAAGGCCAAAGGGATCATGGAGTCTAAGAATGTAGGCAAAGGAGTCATCTTGGAAAAATTTGTACATGGTAGGTTATATGGTTACAATACAGAATGAAATAGGGTTTAATGTCTCGTCAATGGCAATACTTCGGTCATTTCTGGTCGAGAGTACAGTTCCCTGACCACTCGGATACCACGACCCCCACCCCCCCTACCAATAAAAGGAGCATAGAACAAGACATAACAAGCAAACAATATGGTAAACGGTCCGGGTTTATAAAACTGTTTATCAGTTTAACTTTAACTCGAATTTTAATCGTTTACTGCTAGTGACGAAGGTAAAATGTTATTACCTGTAATATCAGTATTATCATAGTGGAGAAAACTATATGACATGGGGTGAGGGGTGGGGTGTTTAGAATAAAATAAACCTCTAGTAAATCAGGAAACCGTTTAAACGGTAACCTGATATCCTGATATATATGAACATTGGCCTTCTCCAATTGTATTTATACCAGACCACAAACAAGACACATTACTAATAAATAAACAAAATATAAATTAGACTTCTTACGTCGAAACATGTTGTATGGTTCCAGCCCCGAAGAGTTACAAAAAAGGACCTCTAAAGAAGAAAGACATAAACAAACAGGCATACTTTGGATTGTACAACGTTTATGAATTTGTCAGGATACATCATTCGATAATTAGCTGGTGCCATAAAAACTAGCCAGTGCGACCTATCAGGTTGGGGAGTGGGGGTGTTGGGATGGCCTAGAGGTCTAGAGTGTGATGCTTCGAGCTCTAGCTGGCCGTCGTGGTTTCGATCCCTGATGTGAGTGTATATGGCTTGGAGATAGGGGCGCCTTCTCAACTTCGTGGGTTTACTTCGGGTACCCCGGTTTCCTTTCACAGGAAAGGCCCCTGCGCGTGCACTGTCTGCGATATCACCCTCGTTTGTAGTGGACGTTAAACACAAAAAAACAACCTACAAGGTTCGTTAAGATCAGTGAATCGAGGTACAAAACCACACATCTAATTGCTTCCCCCGTGCGGTACCATATGGCCCCTTTAATAGTGAAATAACCAACAACGTTCATTTTTATTTATAGGATTAGTTCTATCAATGGCTTTCGACAATACTGAGGCCGTGGAAGGAATCTGGAAACTACATTGTACTAATAAGTTAACAGCAATTGTTCAGGATATGTTTGTTGACGAAGCTATGTTGAAAACTGTTGGTGCAGTTCGAGTGACGTTACAAGCAAAGCTATGGGAAGATGAATACACGGCGTGCAAAACAGAATTACTTTCTACGGCGATGGATCGCCTTAGCTTGAAGAAAAGCCGTAAGTGTTATCGATTTCTTTGCCTGTAAAATTCAATAAAATGCATTGGATATTAACTGTATCTATTAATCTACCTAAAGTAATAAAGGAATTAAACGACATTTCGTCGAATTATGCAACCCTCGTAGTGTATTTAGTGGTTTATTCTAAAGTGGGCATTACCCCTTTTTAATCATAATGGACAAATGAAATGGGGTTTAACGTCCTACTATTTTGCTCCTAAACTGGGCTAATGAAGACGGGTATACGCCATACAGTGTACTATGAGGGAAATTTTGCCCGGGCAGCGGCGCTACGGCCTACTCTTATATCGAATTCCAACTGCCAAGGGACCTTTTACGTGCACGCCAATATGTACAGGGGACCTCGGTTCTTCGTCCCGTCTGAACATTCGGACAGCTGTCCTTGTCAGGACATCCGTCCTGCATCACTGGCAAGGGGAAACCACACCGGAAAAACAGGATGAACTTTCTCGGCCAATGCAGGGATCGAGCACCCGACCTCCAGACTAGCGAGCCAGCGTCTTACCCACTTAGCCACGTGATCCCCCATAATGGACAATAACCTCTCCTAGAGGATACTCGATTGGACGTTCCGGAATGGAATTTTTTCAATCCCCCTAATAATGAAAAGGGGGATTTCGGGCTACATAATGAACAGATATCTCGACTAATCATGGGGGATGCTCGATTGTCAGCCCCGAACGTCCCGAATTGCCAGGATTTCAATCGAGTAACTCAAAAAAATATTCGTTGTGTTTTTAAAATTACGTCACGATTCTACTCACACCACCTATGACGTAACAGTGAAAGAACCGAATTCCGCGTCAATAGATTGCAATTCTGTCAGTTCGGGAAGTTCCAGAATGACAATAGAGCATGTCCAATCTTGATAATCCAGAATGCAAATTCAAGGGACACAACTCTAGAAATACTAACTATAGAAGATCACCAAACCTTAATAACTCACATTCAAATTCAAATGTACAAAATAACGTTATTATTATAGCCTTAAACTATAGCACATACTTATGGAAGAACAACTATTACTGGTTTATTTAGGAGACGTTTCGAATAGTTTTCGCTCGACAATTTCATAGAGGACACTGTCACATCTCCATATACGTGTGTGATATAGTTTATTGCTCTATCCAGTTACTAAATGCCATTACAGGATTATTATTGTAGCCATTACGGATTCTCTTAACGTTTTCATAGACGACACTGCCACATTTCCATATTCCATACGTATGTGTTATAGTTTATTGCTCTATCCAGTTACTAAATGCCTCTAAAAGATTATTATTATAGCCATTACGTGTGCGCAACTGCTAGCATTTCACACATAACTACTGAAATGAAAACAACAACCATAATATATTATAATATCCTACAATTTTATATGTTTCAGAAAATGGTATCAGTATGGTGAAACGGCTTCGCGAAGCACAGAAACAAATTGTTGAAATGACATGCAACCTAAGAGATGAAGAAACTCAGTTTGAACAGAACCTGTCAACTTTCATACTCAATGTTAAACAAATTCTACCAACGAATATCCTTGCTATTAATACTCTTAAAGAATTCCACACGAGCATCAAGATCGCAAAGGGCACCAAAGGAGCGAAACCTGAAACGTTCGAAACCATTGACCATTACTTCAGAACGTTGCAACAACTGCGAAAGGCGTTAGCACAAGTTGAACGAATTGTCTGGTATCCGCTATCTCAAATCCACGCTGCCTGTGAAAATGAAAGTCAAAAGACAACTAAGAAATCGATTAAGGACACTCACACGGAGATCGTTAATATGTTAAAAGCTGACTTCGATCTTCAAAAGGTTAAATACAAAGAATGGGAAGGAAAAATACTGTTCCGGGAACAGAAACTCTTTCTAGGGCTGGTCAGTCTTGTGCCCTTGGCTCTAGAGAAGATACTGGATATAGATCACATGGTAGATGAATATATAACAGATTTCCCAGATAGGATCAAAGTTTAACTACAACAATAATCTTGAAAACATGTCTGAATTTCGTTGCAAGACTGTAGTTATTTTACATGACAAAATTAATATTAGAACACTGCCTTCTTTTGGTGTCTTAACTTTTTAGCTGAAAGATATTTCACTAGTAGAACTCCATCTTGGCTTTCTCTGTGTCAGTGGAGGGAGGGGCAAAATTATATACGTATTGCGGACAGGACATGGGCATCTTGGAATTAGCGATTTATAATACATGTGATAGCTTTTCGAAATCCGGAAGTATCATGATTTCTTGAAAGGGTAAACATGCCCAACATTATGCACGATACCATGAATTGTGTTGAGTGCAACCCAAGACATCTTCAGAATGTCATTGGCGGGTAGAGTTGTCTGTCTTAGTTTCTTTGTAATATCAAATTAAGCTGATATTTATGTCCGCGCGCGACTACGGCATCCATTTATAGTCTTGGTTTTTTTTAATTGCGAGTGAATACGTCATGATACTTTCGATACGAATTTTTATTTCTCTTAGAGTACGCTCGCATAGATCATACATTAACATTGGGGCAAAGTTACGCAAGTGGCGCTGAGCTACTCACGTCTCCATAGATGCCTTCTTTATATCTTTTTGTTTTCTATGCATTAATTCTATAATTCTTCACTAATTATTGATCTAATTGTGTTATGTTCAAATGACATTTGTTTTGTCTTGGATTTGTTGTTCAGTTTCCCGGCATTGATACTAATGTGGGGATGTCTTCTAGAAGACACGAAAACAGGGCACTTGGGTATATGTTTGTATAAATGTTAGAAGATCAGAAAGATTTGCTTATTGTTTACACAATTTTTGTCACTATTCCTAAGACCCTTGCGTCATAGAGCTTTTTCGGTGTCTTTTGGGGTATTCCGTCCGTTTACGATATATAATTTTATTTATATCATTTATATCCAGAACTAATTATTATTCCATATGCATTGATATTATCATGTGGCTACCACACTTTAACATTTAAATAAAATACCTATCTAATCTATACCAGCTTTTTTCTCTTTCTCTAATTGGAGTATAGAATTAAGAAGGGATTTTTTTTTGTGTTAACCAGGCTGAATTATCTACTGTTGTTTATTTTTTAAAGAAGTCTCCAATTTTATAGTGAGTGCACGGTTCGCTAACCTGGTGGTTTAGGGTTCGCTTCTGGTGTTGGCCGAGAAAGTTCCCCTGAATTTTCCGGCGTGTCTTCCCCTTGTCAGTGGTGCAAGGCGGAGGGTCTGTCGAAGATTAGTGTCTAGTCGTTCGGTTGGGACGAAAAATCGAGGTCTCGTGATCATATTGACTTGCACGTAAAAAAAGAAACATGACAGTTTTAATTCGTAATAAGAGTCGGCCGTAACGCCACCCTCTGACAAAATGTCTTTCATACCACACTGCATGGAGTATACCCGTCTTCATTAGTCCAGTCGGTGCAGTAAAGTAGGACATTAAACCCTATTTCATTTTATTTCGGGATAGCAATTGGCCAGAATAAGAGGAGATGACGTTGGATTCGCTCAGATTAGTAACAACCAAACACAGCATTTGGCACAATGAGTCGCTGTTAATTCGAAGATAGCTATTGGCTGTTTAAAAGCAAATGTTAACTACAATAAATGTCCAATTGAATAGAGTTTGGTGTATAGTCGTAGCATGATATGGTGACTTGCTTGTGTGGCCAGCGATGCGTTACATATCATGGAGTTCTTCTCGGCCAACGATGAGATTCGAGCTCAGAAAACTACACGATTACAGCGTCCATCCGCGGTCATGTCCCCAACAGTTCTAAAGCCAAGGCAAGGCGAACAAAGAGGGCTGGAACCATATAACTTGACAGTAAGGCACTATGGAACACAATCATAGGTTTGCTTTGGCCTCCGGAGTTGCTTTAATCACACGCAGACAAACTTAAACGATTCTTATCTCTATATAATGACAACTGGGACTTTCTTTTCACGATAAAAACATGGTAATAGATAAGAGTAGAATAGATAATGTCATAGCTCCAATCTACCTTTTAACCTTTTGGTCAACCAAATTTCGCCATTTATTATTTTATTGTACCACAACCGCTCAAAAATGAGGAAGGAAGTTTCGATTATCAAAGTAATTGTATTCTGTTGTATATATGTAGCCGCGATCAAAGGTTAGTATTTTGATTACTTTTTATATTACTGCAAAACGTTTGTTATATTGGTAGATTATGGATGCGCATTGGCATAATATATCTTTTTACTGAATTGCGTGAAAAATTGAAATTATTTTTACGTTCCCTTTATAACTGACCTTAACAGTTGTTGAATGTGCATCTTCTTGTCGTACGTGAGAATAAAGTATACCCACGACCAGTGGCCCAGGTGTGATGCCTAAACAGTATTCTGTTTCCATGAAACGTGTAAATTTGAGCTTTTTGTTGGTTGGATTGATGCAGCTGATAAAATTGAATGTTATATTAGAACTTCGATTTTTCAAAATGTTCTCGGAGAACCCCAGATCCCCCAGCCCCCAATCCACATATACTGCGTCCGAGATTTTCTTGAACTGGATTAATCTCATAAAATTCGCAGATCGGAAAATGGAATAAAATTTATTTTAATGAGAATCAAAATGGTACTCAGGTCTGCTACCATTTTGTAATATATTTAGACCTCTGTCTAGATTTTAAAAAAAATTAGATTTATCAGAAAGCAACATGATGAATAAAACTTGATTTTGCATCTTGGTGGTCGACAACTTGAATCGTATTGTTCTTGTTTCACCTATATTTTGACATAAACCAAAGAGGCTCACCTCTAGACAATTATGTACTTTAAGACGCCATTTGCCGATCGTCGTATTTATAAAGAATGAAAGTTTAATGAAAGGAGTGGAGTTTCATGCCTCACACAACGGTTAAATAATTTTGAGAGTAACATAATGTTCTAAGTTTACGCGTGCTACGCCAGCACGAGAATTCTGCCCGAATCCAACCACCAAGATGTATTTTAATGCACCATCAATTTTTACACAGAAAGCATGGTTTTTATCCGACCAAAAATTAGAATATTCAGGGCAAAGTATAAAGTGACACAACCTTGTTGCAAACTAGTCTCGACACCAATAGACTGAAAATATTATTTTCCAACACAGAATAGTGGCTCTTGGATACAAAAGTCCAAAATACGGACAATACACTTTTGCACTGTCAATACCCCTTTAAATCGCACATCCGTGTGTCATCATTTAAGCGAACATTTCAATTTCATCACTTTCTTGCCCTTTAGATAAAACGAAAAAAATGATATTTCCGCATCCAGACGACGTTTACTAGAACATTATATCGATATGTAAGTGTTTCATTCACCATACATACAAGTATGCCGCATTCCGTTTAGTATAATAAAAGCATTTCATCGTTTTATAAAGGATTATAATGTTTCTTATTCTCCAATTTCAAACGTCTCTGACCTCACGCTTATATCAATGAGTTGGGTATTGATCTTAAATATAAATTTTTTAAATATTTAATTTAAACAACTAGATTAGTTTATATCATAATTACTCTGAGGTGTCATTTACGGGATTTGATAATATTAAAAATATAAATCATTCATAAACTTATTGATATAAGCAGCATTTCCTGTGAAGCAGTGGGGGTCACGGTGGCTAGGTGCTTAAGACGCTGGCTCGCTAGCCTGGGGGTCGGGTGTTCGATCCCTGCATTGGCCGAGAAAGTTCATCCGGATTTTCCGACGTGGTTTCCCCTTGTCAGTGGTGCAGAACGGAGTGCCTGACAAGGACAGCTGTCTAGTCCTTTGGACGATACGAAAAACCGAGGTCCCGTGTTTACATTGGAATGCACGTAAAAGATCCCTAGCAGTTGGAATTCGATATAAGAGTAGACGATAGTGCCGCTGCCCGGGCAAAATTTACCTCATAACACACTGTATGGCGTATGCCCGTCTTCATTAGCCCAGTATAGGAGCAGAACAGTAGGACGTTAAACCTCATTTCATTTCATTTCTGTGAAGCAGTAAGACGACAAAGAAATGTAAATAAAGATGCAGTTTTATCTTTTTGATTTATACGTTTACCATCACAATTACCGAAAAAATCAGCTAGTATATCTTAATAGTATAGATCATTGACCTTCATTTGTAAGATCTGTCACTTCCATTAACATTAACATTATCCATATGGAGCGTACTAAATATTGACGAAAACAGAATTGTCAAAATCGAAGGTACGATGGTATCCGTTGTCAAGTATTGGTAAATGTTATTGTAAAACGTAGTGAATATTTCTAACGTTTAATTGTCAGATATCTTTATGCATTCTGGTACAAAGTTTCAAAGTGTGAATTTAGAAGTTATAAAAATGATAACAATGTGTATTCAATGCAAACATAGCTCAACGCAAAAGCGGTTTCAATCCCTTGTCAGTTGAATTTCGATATAAGAGTAGGCTGTGGCGCCGCTTTCCAGGCAAAATTTCCCCCATAGCACACTGTATGGCGTATGCCCGTCTTCATTAGCCCAATTAAAGCAGAACTGTAGGACGTTAAACCCCCATTTCATTTCATTTGTTTATTATTTCAGGAAGAGTTCAAAGTAAAGGGAGACAATTCGTGGTTAACTTTATGAACAATGGTAATCCGGGTGCAAACTTTTTGTTTGCTTCGTCCGAGGAACCTGGGAACTTTACGATCCAGTCTATCTCTATGTCATCACTGATACTTCCTTTATCACCAATGAAATCCGTCAGCATTCGTCTTCCGGATAACTTGGAGTCCATGCCAAAGACTAACTTGGACCGTGTGGGCATACTTGTCACGTCAACAGTGGACATGACTATCTATGCGCTGAATGAGAACACAGCCGGAAACAGTGAAGATTCCTACGCGGTACTTCCGATAGCAGCTCTGTCTACTCTCTATGTTGTTACGGGAGCGGGAAGTAATGAATTAATTACAGTTGCGGCCGTTGATTATTCAACAAATGTGAACATAACACTGAAAACCACTTGTAACGTAGATTGGGAACGGACTACTTACTATGACGGAGATACGATATCGGTAGATATAAACTCCCTTGATGTCTTTCAACTGGCTCACACAAGTAATTCGGACAGACAATGCGTATTCGCTGGAACTCAGGTATAGTTGATGTGTATCTCACTTAGAAAATAACTTGATCGTTTGTTCAAGTCCAGTTCCCTTTTAGTAAGGGATAGTTGGTTGATTTGGGGCTGACAAGTAAAGTTTTGGGTAGTCGAAGACCCGAGGTCAGCCATGTATAGATTATCACGTAAACGATGCGTTGGCAGTTCAGACCCAACGAAAACCCAAGGTCTGCCATGTATAGATAAGCATTGAAACGAAACCCTGGCAGTTGAAATTCCATGCTGTCTAAACAAGTAAACGTTTGCGTATTAGTTTAGATACGACGAAAACCAGAGGTCCAGCTATATACAAACGTGACAACAGAAAACGTTAATGGTATGTTAGTCTCTAAATGACCGAAGTATACTGTTGAGAAGACGTAAAACTCCACCCCTTTCTGTATTGAGAAATGTATTGTCTCGTTCTAGAATTCTTACAGTATCCACAACAATACTGGCAGTGATTTCGGATTTAATCGATACCGTTTAAAATCTGTATATTCGTCTAGGATTTTATCAAGTGTTCTTCTTTTACAGGTATTATCCGATAAACCCGTATCTGTTCTATCTGGGGCTTCGTGTACGGGCACCAATTGCGACCATACGGTAACACAGATGCTTCCGGTTGAGTTATGGGGAAAGCGGTTCATAGTTCCCAGTTTTAACGACACGGGCCATATCAGAATCCAAATGGCGGCATCAGAAGACGATACAAATATTTATGTAACGGAACATTACGGGGATGGTACTCGGCACACCACACACCGGATTATCGATGCAAACCGTGTGATGGATATATATGTGCCTAATCTGACCTTCACAGAAATCTTCAGTTATAGAAATATTCTTGTGACAGGATTCAGC